CACACACACACACACACACACACACACACACACACACACACACATTTTAACAAGTCATTTGGCAACATAGTTTGACCAAGCAATCCTGATTGGTTCCTGTCTTGTGTAGAGCTCTGGGGAAGCTGAGCGGGCAGGCAGGTCTGGGCCATGCCTTCTTGGGCCTGGAGAGCTGGAGAAGGGATCAAACAGGCAGTTTAAGAACAGACTGAGATCTAACTAGGGTCTTAGGGGATCCCAAGCACTGTGGGAAAATGAATGAGGGGCCTCACAGTGCATGCCCAGGAAGGCTGCCTGGGATAAGTGAGATCCTAGCCAGATCAGTGAGACAGATTGGGTAACACCCGATTGGGAATGTAGGTGGGGGGATCAAGCAGCAGGGGATAGACCATCAGAAGTAACTGCTAAGGAACCCACGGCCCCGAAAGATACTCCAGAGACCAAGCCATTATTCTGTCACTCTATCAAGAGCAACTTGAGGCTAAATAGAACCAAGCTGGGTATGACCGTGCACGCACGCCGCCGCCCCCCCCTCCACCATCCCCCAATTTCCTACAGACACAGAATATCTGGGTCTACCAGGAGAAGAGCAGTAGGCATCTTGGACAAGCCACTGTCAGATTTGAAACCTACCTAAGATTCTGGGAGCTGAAGAAGACCTTTGCCACCTGCCCAGTCTCCCTCATTTCATAAATAAGAACCTGGAGACCCAAGAAAGAAGAGAGTTATCCAAAAAGACCCAAGTGACAGTCCCCAAAAGCGCAGAGCCAGGAGGAAGCAGAGGGGATGGTGGGACTAGGCAAGTCAGCCAGGAACCCTTAGAGACTGCGGAGGGAAATCCCACGAGAGCAGAAATATGCTGAGCCTGGAGTCCGCTGCTGAGACCCTGGTCACAGGGACACGTGCCCCAACCTGAGTCTCCTCATTTGGTCGGTGGGATCGTACTGACATACCTCACGGGGTTACTGGGAGGAACAGAAAGTGAGTGCTTTGTAACCTATTAAGCCCTGTGCCCTGTCCCAAGTGTCGGGAAGAGGGTGACCTCAGGGACAACGAGCGAGCGCTTTGTAACCCCACACTCAGCTCTGACAGTGGCCTGTGAGGGAGGAAGGTGGGTCTCCCTAGCTCACAGACTACAGAAGCTGAGTTCACTCACCTGCCCAAGCCCTCCCAGTTCAGGGAGGGTGGAAAGGCATCAGGGGGTCTAAGTCATCCACCCAAGGGCTCAGCAGACCCACAATGGAGAGTGGGCAGCGGAAGCTGAAATCCAACTCTCAGGAAATGCAGATTCCCCCAGTCTCGGGGCCTCCAGTGTAAGCAATGTTTTGCCCTGATAGTTGGAGCTCAACCTCACTCCTAAACATGGGGCGAATGGCCTGGGGGGGGGGGAGCTCCTGTGTGACCACATGAGGTGTTCCATCTACCACAGCTGCCTTGGCCATCTATTGCGTGATAAAGCCCTCAAACTCTCTAGCATAGAGCAGTTTAACTAGGTGTCTAGCTCTGTGGGCCTGGGGTTCAGATGGTGCACAGCAGAGATGACGTGGTTCTGTGCCACAGTGTCTAGGGTCTTAGTTGGAAAACTCCAGCAGCCAGGAAGGCTTGGTAACTGTGCTCCTCTGGGACTGTGGGCCTCTGGCATGGCCTCTGTGCCTTGAGCTTCCTCTGGACATGGCAGCCTGGGAGGGGACACTTCGTACTCAACCGAGGCCTTCAGGAGCAAGTGTCCTAGTGATGTGGTGGAAACTAGGAAGCTAGGTTAGGGTTAAGGTTAGGGTTCCCTTTGCCGCACTCACTGGATACGAAAGTCACAGACCTGCTCAGATTCACAGGAAGGCTATAAAGAACCAACCTCTCTGTGGGAGGAGGGTCCAAGGATGGGCACCAAAGCAAAATCTGAGCACTGCCCACCAGCCTGGCAGGGAGGGCAGCAACCCACCCTTCAAAGACTGCTCAGAGAGGCTAATGGAAGGTACGGCATGGTCAGTTAGGGAGACCCAGGACCCCTCCAGGCCTCTGCTGCTTGTGACCCTGGCCTCTCAAAGCCCATCTTCGGCTCTCATATCTTCCCCTAGAATGATCAGGAAGTTAAACCGACACTCCCAAAGGCGGGGTCAGGTCCCATCTGCCGTGGCAAGATGGCCATGAGTAAGCCACACGATACTGGGAACCTCGGATTCTACTTCTTCATAATTTATACTATTTCTCCCCTCCTGAGGCTCTGGAGAGGCCCAGAGGAGACCACACATGTGAAACCCCGACAACACCATTTCCTTCCTGGCGCTGGGGTGGGGCATGGCACTCAAAGAAGGCATTGCATTTGAGAGACTGACTCACCAGGTCCTCAACACTGGGGCGTGTCTGCACTTGACACTGTGGTGAGCACCTCTCAGGCCTATGGTCTCAGCTCCAATTACAGCTCTCTGGACACCTCTCCCACTTGGAGCTGGCAAGAACCCCGAAGAGTATCCACAGACAAGCAACTGGCTACAGACCTTTCATCTACGAGGCCCTGATCCAGGAACAGGCCCTAAGGTTACCCCATCTCCATCCTGCCCCTATGCTCACACAAGGCCACTACCACAGCCATAGGATCCTGATCTCTACTTACAACAGCTTCAATGACAGTAATTTTAATGCTTTACAGGCAGCCCACTCATGTCTAGGCAGCAAAGGTAATTACTTCCAAAAGCAATCTGCCTCTCACTTCTAACAGTTATCCCCAGGCCTACCAAGAAAAGGGCCACCAGGACTCTGGGGTCAGAGGAATTGACCACACTCTAGTCTTGGCTCTGACTCTTCGGGGTTAATAGCCTTTGAGTCCTCAGTCTTCAGCTGCCCCCATCTGTAAAATGAGAATAAAGGAGAAGGGCAGGTTAAGATAAGACACCATAACATGCATGAAAATGCCTGGCACAAATTCATCCATTTCCCATGCCTGCTCTTTGGACACACTGTTCCACAGTGGCTTCCTAGGCTTGGGTTCTAGTAACACATGCTTGGACACATACACATGGCTGTTCTGAAGAATCACCAACCCACCTGTGCAATCAGGGGGACAGAAAAACGTGGTTGGTACTTCTAGGCAAGCTGGCAGTGGGGGCTTTCCCACTTCAATGTTTCAGTACAACTGTCATGTTCTAGACAAAACCAAGCAAGTGGAAGGACTGTGGAGGGATGGTTGAATGGGTGGGTGGATGGATGGATGGATGGATGGATGGATGGATGGATGGATGGATGAGTGGGTAGCTGGGTAGATGAATGAGTGGGTGAATAGGGTGGTTAATAGATGGATGGGTGAGTTAATAGATGGATGGTTAATAGATGGATGGGTGAGTGGGTGAATAGGTGGATAGACACATGGGTGGGTAAACAGATGAGTGTGTGAGTGGACAGATAGGTGGACAGATGGACAAGTATGTGGGTGGGTAAGTGTATGGTAGAATAAACAAGCAAAGAGCTTCATTAGGTTTCTGCATCCATTGGGAAAACCCACCTCTTTATTACAGCCCTTAGATTCTCCTGGGGGTGTGTGTGTCATCTTTTTCTTGAGGACAGGGTAAAGGGGCAGTGTCGAAACTTTGCTCAACATAGGAAGAGCATTTATGAGCATGGGTGGCCAGATTCTACCAGCAGAGACTCTGACTCAGGTGTCTGGGCAGACCTGAAACTCTGTTTCTGGCCAGTGCCTGTTACAACTCATCTGCCTTGGTTGCTCCACTAGCCACACTGGGAGTCATTCTTGGATCCACGTGGAAGAGCTTCCAACAGCTGCTGTACAACAAGCCTGCAGCCAGGATTTGGTGCCCTGGCTTGGGAAAGGCCAGCCGGAGGGTAAGAAAGCACCCTTCTAGCCTTGGCTAATCTGATAGCCACCTCCAGACACCCTCTTGTCAAATAAAGAGCTGGAGCCACTTGGCTGCATGGCAGCAGAACTCCAGTCTGGAAGGTGCCGTTTCCCTGCAAGAATTCCAGCTATGCAGTAACCCTAGTAAGTAGGACAAGGCCATTAGCCCACGCAGGCCTTCCATCAAAAAGAAGCCCTGGGAAGAGACCCCGACTTCCCGAAACACACACATATGCACACAAATATAAGCACATGAAGAAGGGACCAACACCTCCCTCAGAACTTCAATAAAGGTAGCAGAGCCTCACTTCAAGGTTTTGCTTGGTCACCAACTTGCCATGTACCTTAAGCTCTGGGCACATGTTATCCCCTGGGTCTTGGTTTCTCCACCTGTAAAATAAACTCCTCCTTGCCCTGGAAGGGACTGATATCATCTGAGCCATGATAGTTTCCTATTTTTCATTCTTTCACCTAACTGATGTTTTGTGAGCAATTCCTATGACCCAGGACTAATCCACAGCAGTGAACAGGCAGATGAACTAAGTTTGGGCCTCCTGGAGCTGGTCCCATTTCTGCTCCCCGACACCTTGTCCTTTTCGCATTTTGCTGTCCTTACCTTCCCACAATCACAGCAGTGGGTTTATTACCCATCATCCCTGCATTACATACGAGGAAACTGAGGCACTGTGGAAGTGGGAAAGCCGGGGTCAGGCCTCCGTCAATGCTGAGCTGAGACCTCTGTCAACCAAGCCCTTGTCCTCTAGCTTTCTGCTAGGAACTATTCCTTCTAAAGAACCCTCCCACAGCTTCCCAAACTCCACACACCTCAAGATCTTGAAAAGACCCCAGGCCACGGAGAGCATTGTTTTCTCCTGTCCCATCCAGGCTGGATGGGGCTTTTACCCCCTTTCTCCAAGGCAAGCTGTCCATGCCTCCCTCATGAGTGAGTACCTGTATCATGGGTATTACAGGAATGCTGGGAGGTTCTTCATAGACACCCCATCTCCACCTACCCTCTCTGTCTCTCACTCTAAGTACCCACACATGACCTAAGAGGCAAAGGCAGCCAGTCCTCAAGAAAGGAGGTGTAGCCGGGCGGTGGTGGTGCACGCCTTTAATCCCAGCACTCAGGAGGCAGAGCCAGGTGGATCTTTGTGAGTTCTAGTCCAGCCTGGTCTACAGAGAGAGAGATCCAGGAAAGGTGCAAAGCTACAGAGAAACCTTGTCTTGAGAAGAAGAAAGAAAGGAAGGAAGGAAGGGAGGGAGGGAGGGAGGGAGGGAGGGAGG